TATTTACTTTATCTTTAATTATCTTTACTTTTTTAATTAAAAATAGAAGTATTTTAAATATTAAGTTAGTATTTTTTTAGATAATATAAGTAAAAAATAATATAAAATTATAAAAAATCTTTATATTTATTTTATATTACTTAACTTTAATTTTAAATACTTTCTTAGTATTAAAAAGCTCTTAAATAATAATTTTATAGTTAAAAAGATAAGATTCTATAAGATTAATACTAATTAAAATACCTTACTTAGAGAAGGTATACTTACTTTAACTAATACTTTTATTAAAAATAATATTTTAGGATTAATAAAGAGTTTAATTAAATTTAAAACTTATTTTTTATTTTATAGCTTAAAAGTACTTAAAACTCTTTTATTAATAACTTAAATAAAGTTTAGATTTTAACTAATAAACTTTCTTAAAATTATAAATATATTACCCTTAGTAATACCTAAAGCTATAAAGTCTCTTAATCTAAAAAAAAAAAGGCTATTAAGTCTTATATTATTAATATAAAAATAACTAATTACTTAATATTTACCTTTATAATATATAAAGTTAATTAAGACTATAGGCTTTTAATTTTTTATAAATTTTTAATTAGTTATTAATTAATAAAATTATACTTTAGTTAATTTATAAAAGTTTTTAATATTATAATTTTTATAATTATTACTAGCCTTAGTAAAATAAATATAAGAAGTAGAAGTTATTAGGTAAGAAGATATTAAGAAAGATAAACCTATTAATAATACTTTTATTTTAAACTAATAACTAAATAAAGACTTTAAAAAGAGTTTTTTTAAAAATATATTTATTATAAATATATATTAATATTTATAATATAAAAAAGAGTATTAATACTATACTTATTTTTTTAATAAAAAAAAGAAGTTAATATTAACCTAATTAAAATATAAGCTTTAAATAATAGAAGTTAGTAAATAAAAAGTATTCTTCTTTTTCTAAATTATTAATATTTTATAATTAATATAAAGTAATATACTAAATAAAAAACCTCTTAAAAAGTTCTATTTAATAATACCTTCTTATATAATAATCCTTTTTATCTTAAATAACTTAACTATTATTAATATATAAAATAAAGTTAAATTTATTATTTATACTTTTTAAAATCTAATAAGCTTAAAAGCTAAAGAATTAAATAAAATATACCTAAAAAATTAACTTAAGTTAAAAGAAGCTAATAAAAAAAGAATAGTAAAAATTATAAGATAATATATTAAAAAGAAAGCTAAGAATATAAAGTTAATTATAATAAAAAAGGTAAAAGTAGAATTAACTAGGGGTATATTACTAAAAAAATAGGCCTAGAAATATAAATAAGTAAGTAAAGAAACTAATAATTAGGAGTCTAGAGATTATTATATTATATTTACTTTTTAGTTTATTATTATTAAGCTTTAATATTTTTTTATTAATTTTAGATTTATTATTTAAGATTTTCTTTTATTAATTATTATTATATAACTAATCTTATTTT